TTAAATTAATGACAATATAATTTAAAATCTTCATTTGTTTTGTATAAGATAAATACAGAAATTACTTTAAGAAAGTCTTTTCATAATATTAGAATGATAAAAATATTTTTAAGTCTCCTAAATCATTAATAACTTTAGCACTAACAACATACGCACTCATAACCTTTGATTTGTTTCAATCTGTCTAGATTTTGATGGTCTTAACTTTGGCATTAATTCTCCCATTTCCTCATGTGATTATCTGTAAAGCTTGTATTTCGCCAGTGTACAATGGTATTGATGCTATTGCTCACAATTTTAAACCTCACTTTATTTAAAAATTTGCAGAACATGAGCAGACCCACCATATAGAATTTTAAAACTTAATAATTTACCAGAATAATTTTAACTATATTAGTTGAATAGTATGAGGTATACTTTAAATTAGATGTATACCATTATTGCAGTATAAAAAATTTAGTTCATCTGTTGTAAGTCACATTTTTATTTTTAGGACTACTGTATCGAAAGTATAAAAACTACATAGGCTGCATGACATTCTTAAAAGGTGGATACAAGTTTATAAAATGTGAAATAATAGCTGAAAGAAAGGTTTACTTGTGTTTTTATCTAGAAAAACTTCCTGTATTGAATTATTTAAAAATCCTTAGGACAATTTTGCATATGCTACTTTTAGAAAAAAGTATTATTATTACATGGTTCAAATACCATTTTCATGAAGACCGACCCTGAAACTTCTTATCTTCTCGGTACTATAAAATCTTTGGTGCTGTATAGTTAGGTCTCATGATTCTGAAACACTTACATTTAAAATATAATGTATGCAAACACACACCTGGATGATTGCTTTTAAGGCTGTTAATGGCTTAGTATTTAACAAATTGTTACCAAAATAAATGTTAACATTCATTATTTGATTAAGAGTATAAAATAAATGTGTTATTTATGTTAATATAAAACCTCACCTAAACCACTTTAATAATGATGCAAGAAACCATCTTTTAAGGGTTTTCTAATAAGCTAAACCTATCCTGTTGTTGATGGAAAATCCACTTCTAAGTTTTAAGTGAATGCGAACAAAGGAGTTTTAATCTTTATTCTTCATGCTTATGAGGTCTGCTGCTCAAAATTTTGTGAAAATACAGAAAAGTGATAAGGCTTGGTGGCTCTTGTATTCTAGAAGCCCAGGACGTCAAGCATTTATGTGTCACAATATATATTTGTTATATTTGGGGGAAGCGGGAGGAGAGTGTCCCAAGATGTAACCACCTAAGAAAATGTTTTATTTTTGTGGCTATATATTTTTTTCAACAAGTCTTAAAATATACCTTCAGGATTTTTCTTTAAACTATTTGAATGTTTACTTTTCTTGGAATAAAGACAGCTTACTGATAATTACTTAATAAAGTATTATTAATGGACTACTGACAGAGATGTCCTTCCAATAATGTTGTTTTGTTTTGTTTTGTTTTTGTTTTTTACACTGTGGGAGGTGAAATGTTTGTTAGAAATATTTAATTGGAATTTGTGGAGGAAATGAAGATTGGGAACTTGTTTAGGGGATCGAAAGGCCTGGCCAGCAGGGCACTCTGAGTCCCAGATTTCTGAGGGGCTGCCATATCTCTGAAAGCAAGCATCCTTTTTTTCCTCCAAAATTAGCAATTCATAAAAATTAACTACCCGAATAGAATAGAGGAAAACTGGGCTTTAGAGCAGCCAAACACATCCTTGTCTGCAGCAAGCATAAAACCAGACTTCTAACCATGAGCCACAATCACCTATGGATTGCTACCACATCTGTGCCCCTGTTTTTGGAAGCAGGGTTTTCTGCGAAGGCAGGGTTGAAAAATCTGACCATTTTGGTGCCCCTGTAGAAAAAACAGCTGACAAGACTCCCAGGAAGGAGTCTTGAACCCCACACCTTGGCTTACTCTTTTCTCACCCATAGATGGATCCAATTACAAGTCCCTCCTTTCGTCATCAGCCTTCAGAAGTTATTCTTCCCAATAATGCAATCTAGGAAGAAGCGTCTATAGAAGTGATGTGGTACTCTCTAGCAGACAAAGGGTGAAATGCTTTGTGTGCCACTAAATACAACCTCCTCCGCCCAGGCCAGCCCAGAGTAAGCCACCGCGCTGGGCCAGACTCAGTTCCGCTGTGGAGCAGGACAATGACCTCAAAGATCAGAGCCCCTTAACCCCTTTCTTACCCTAGAGCTTTCCTGAGGATAAAGTCGCTTAAATATTCTAGACCTGGCGGTGGTGGGGTGAAGGGGTAGGGTGGGGGTGGGGGGTTACTGGATTGGCCCCGAGGGCGACTATTCAATCCTGGACCAAGTTTTTGACTCCTGTCTGACGCAGAACAGTTGCCAACTGCAAACCGTGGAGCCCAGGCCCAGGCACTGACTGGGGATGGGGAACGTGTGTGTGTGTGTGTGTGTGTGTGTGTGTGTGTAGTGTACTGGGGAAATGGAGTGGGCACACTGTGAAGCTGAGCTACCTCCCCCTTCCCCCATTACAGGCTGCTTAGCAGCCCAGGCACAAGAGAAAGCTGATTCGTTTCCGCTCTCACTTCTCAAGTTCACACTCAAGTTCAACCCCTGTTTCCCACAAGACGTCTGAGTAGTCTGGCCCTTTTCTCAACCCATCCTTAAAGAACAACCCCTGATGTTGCAGGAGGGCAAAGTCTGCAGGAAATACACAGCAATGGTAGAAGGGGTCAAAGAAGGAGACCAGGAGAGACCCTCGCCACCTTTTAAGCCTTCTTTTTCTCCAGCGCTTCCCACCAAGTCGCCTTAAGTTAGAACTTGAAAGAGTTCCTGAGCAGCCTGGAAAGGGTGGCGCCCTCTAGAAAGCGGGTGTATGCTTAGATTGGTTTCTTATGGTGAACACGAGGCGAGCGCCTGACTTTCAACCCTTCAAGCTGCTCAGTCCCCAAAGTGAGGCCCTGTGGGACTCAGACTATCCATGGGAAACTGCTCCTTCAGGAGCAGCGCGATCCAGCTACACCCACTGCTGCCCGGCACCCCTCTGTTTTCCACAATTTAGTGGGAGAGCGAGTGGCTTTTATGCCCCAGGTCTTAGGGCCCAGTCGGAGCTGAGGTGGGGGGAGATTTTGGACTTTCCGAACATAAGAACCTAGCCATGGGAGGAGTGATGGAAGGGGAGGAGTAATGTAGGGAGGAACTGGCAGTCCCAGATCCGAGCAGAGGAAACCTAAAGGACAGAGGATGGTGGTGAGACGGAACAGAAAAAGAAAAGAAAACAAACAACACACACACACACACACACACACACACACACTAAAAAACAGACTTGTTTTCTGAAAGAATTTGGACAGTGGGACTTGTGTCCAAGCCCCCAACTGGGACACTAAACTGGAACCAGCTCGCAACCACTGGACCCCCACTCCCGGTGCGGGGATCATGGGGATCATTCAAGGCCATCCTACCAGGACGTCCCAGTTTCTTATCTTCAGCTATTTCCCTCCCACCCACATCCCTGTACTACCTGTCCTTCCTCCTCCTCCTTTTCTTTCTTGCCACATCCCAGAGCGCAGCTGGCTAACCCACTCTGTGCCCTAAGCATCCAGGCCCGCGGCTCACCGCCTGCAGAGCACCGGGAGCCTGTACCCTGCACCTTGGGTGCTCTCCTAGAGAGGTGTTGAGGGTGTGGGTGGCGGACAAACACAGCCGAGTGGGAAGCGATGAGTGTTTACAGCCTAACTCTCCCAAAATCTTCCTGCCTAATCCACCTGCCGCGGATTAGGGATGTAGGAAGGTCCAGAGCTGGCCGTTTCCAACTTTCTGTTGCCAGGACCAACCAGGTGGGACATGCAAAGGGGAAAGGAGACACCCTCCTTCTCTCCAAAGAACCGAAGGGTGGCCAGGAAGAGAAACTGGGGAGTTGGGGGTGGGTGCCCAGAGGCTTGCACAGATCCCCAAGGCACGGGGACACCGGTCCTGTTCTCCAAGAAAAGAGGGAAGTTATGGCCAAGCAGAAAGTGGAAGAGAGCGGGTCCGGACACACCGCGCAGAAAACCTGAAGGTCCTGGCACCACAGGAGAGGTGACGAACAAAGTGACTCCCTAAAGCCAGCCAGGCCAGCCACTCTAGCAGCCCAAGTGCAGCAGGAGCGGGTGTCTCCCCTCTGTTCCCCGAGCACCGCCCAACAGCCTCCAGCTCGCCCAGGAGTTCTGCGGCTGCGGTCGCCAGGGGTCTTGGCCACAGCGCTCACGCAACACCGCCTCCCGCAGCGGGCCTTTGACAAAGGAGCCTTTCCCAGCACGGGTTGAGCGGGCTCTCCTATCCTCTGGAACTTCTCTGCACAACTTTTTTGGGGCGGCGCTCGTCTTTCGTCTGCGCTGGCTCGGGCACGCGGACCTAGCCTGGGCGCAACGCTGGCGCGACAGACGCGCGCAGGGGACGATCTCGGAATCCGCGTCCCGCTCCGCGACACCGCCCCTCTGCCTACCACTCCCACCAAGGGAGCGTCAGCCGTCCGGGACACTGGTGGGCCTTGTAACTCGGAGTGCGTGTGTGTCCGCGTACTCCCGCCCCACCACCCGCAGGTGCTCTCAGCGCTGCCAACCCCGGCCCGGACCACCGCGCGCCGTGCGCTTCCAGCTGCTTCTGCTGAGAATCAGCCTTCTCCCAAGCTCTCCCTCCATCCACAATCTGCTTCGGTCCTCGAGAGCTACAAGCAAAAACGTTCAGTGCAACTCAAGGACTGGGACGAAGGAACTAGCGTCGCTCCTCTCTCCGAAAAGCGTCCTCCCGCGTCCCTCGGAACTCCCAAGAGGCATCAACGCCTCCCCACAACTTTCCACGCCCAGGCCGTTTGTAGCCCACCTTCGAACCCGAAGTCGGGGACTGCGCTCCGCCAACCTCTCCCCCTTCGGCTGGGCGCGCTCCCCTCCCCCCGCTCCCCATCTGGCTAGAGTTGGCCCGACCGGTGGAGCCTCGGTGCCCACGGAGCCTCCGTGCCCGCGGGCTCGCTTACCTCGCATGATGTGGCCGCTCTCCTGCTCCGCGTAGTCATGAAGCTGCTCCCAGCCCGAACCCTGGAGAGCCCAAAAATCCCGCTCAGCACGAGTGAGGAAGGTGGTCGGTGAAGAGCTGCTCTGCTGAGAAAACCATCTCTTTAGGCGGACGCCGTGGCCGGAGGGTGACGTTTGCCGCCGCCGCCGCCGCTGCCGCCGCCGCTGCTATGTTAACAGTTTTGATGGTGATGTGGTGACTGTTTTGATGGTTGTTTGGATGTTTGTTTGCTTTCAGGAAGGGTGAAAAAAAATGTGCTGGCTGGCTGGTGCCTAGGTTTTGTTTTGCTTTTGTTTTTCTTTTTTCTTTCTCTCCAATGTGCTTGCTTTTAAAAAATGCCACCGCCTCCGGCTCAGAAGATTTCTTTTGTGATCACTTGGACTGAGGAGGAGGAGGAAGGGCAGCAGCAGGAGGAGGAGTTGTTGGTGGTTTTGTTAGTTACAAAGAAGAGGGAGAAGGAACAAGGGAAGAAAAGAGGGAACAGAAAGAAAAGAAAGGCGGTGTGGATGGCAGAGCATGTGCGTTTTCACATGACATCTGTGCCTGTTAGCGGATCCACAATGTGAATTTTCACTGTTCAGTTACAGGGAGGAAGGGAGCGAGAGAGAAAGAGAGAGGAGAGAGATGGAAAGAGAGAGCCGAGAAGGGGCTTATACGCGGGGGCGGGTTTGGCCGGGACTTTCAGGCCCCGCCTCCTGTCAGCGCCACGGCCAATCGGCACCCGGTAGCGCTTGGAAGGGCTGGGACCACAGGGAGGGGGCCAGATTGGAGGCGAGGGCGGGGGTTAGGGACACTGGAACTGAAGGCCGCCAGGGCTGGAGATGGGTCCTAACTGTCCTAACTGTGCGGAGGGCGAGAAGGACCGACAGAGAGAGTCGGGCAGATGTGCAAGTGACATTCACCTACGATTCCAGGAGGAGGGAGAAGGCGGTGACCAGTCCCTCAGAGGCGAAAGACACCGGGCTCTCCAGGTCCCATGTTGTGTTCCTCTTTGGCAAAACCTGTGGGCCCCGGATAATTAGTTTTGGATTTATGATAGTGCTCTGCAGAGTCCTTTTTTCGGTGAACTCCTTATGTCTGGCGGGGGGTTCTCAGGGCAGGACGCTTCAGTTTTAGTGGTAGAATAATGCACATCAACTTTGCTTACTTTGAGTTCAACCAAAATGCAGTCCTATGCAAGTACCAGTCCGAGTCCTTTAAAACTGTTTCTCAGATGCTTCCTGCTCCCAAACATAAAAACAGACAAAAATAAAACATTGACATCTCTTCTGTTCTTTAAGATTATTTAAACATTTTAATGCTTTCTTTTGTCAAATAAATGGATTTTTACTAGCATTTGGAGAGTCTCCTGGCGTTGAGCTACATAACTCAAGGATAATAGCCCCAGTTTGCAGTGTGGTTACCTTAGTGATAAGGCAAAGGGCTGAGGCCAGAAGGTATGATTGTGTGGTGCTGTTTATTTGATCACCCTGGAGCGGGGCTTTAGTAGGGAGGAACTGTTAATTGTAGTTGCTGGGTGAAGACATTTACCAATTTAGAGGACATTGGCAATTAAACGTAGGTTAAGGTATTTGTGTTTCTTAGGTGAGAATTGTTACCTATAACCATTTATTTTATTTTAATAAAAATCTAATGCATAGATCAAAACTACTTCTTTGCAAATTTTCTCCTCTCATTGGGCAAAATAAACATATCATACAGATGATCACGTCTACTTTCTACAGCAGGAAAGTTGTAAATACTTTGATCAATTGGTCACCCTAAAAGGTACAAGGAATTGAGACTTCTACTCATTCATGTACCTGTTGGCAGAGCAGGCCTCATCATCATTTTAGTACCCTTATAATTAGATTTTTTACTGGTATTTATTCATATTATGTCATGTAACACAAAATACAATGTAGAACTGGTGATTATTTAGTTAATTAGATCACTTCGCACTGCCAAGTAGTCCCCCACTGCCCGATTAAATAAAAAATGGATTACTTGCTGAATCTTCACTAGTGTTAAATTGACTTAGCCCTGCTGAATGCCCTTCCATTTGCAAGCCAATGTGTAATTTAGGGAAATTTTAGTATTAAGAATGAAAGTTGATTAAGTCTTTAATTAAATGAAATGAACAAAAGGAAGTTACTGTTCAGAATAGTTATTCCCTTATAAATACCTTTCTCCTAGGTTTGTAATTGACATAGTAGTTAATCTTTTAAGATAATATTTAAGGCTCCCTGGTTTTATCATTTTTAATCAAGTAAAATAGATTCATCATAACTACATTAAAGCTGTACTAAGTTATGCCTAATTTAGTCACTTCATTACAAATTACTGAATATAAAACAGTTAAGAAACAAATTGTGACTGCATCATTTTAATTTTATGTGCTTCATGAAGACCCAAGAATATTTAAAATTCCAAAACCTTTGTAAACATTATAATTAGTACTGTCATTATTTTAATTTTTTTATTTCTCACTAAATAAGAATTTCAAAATTCAAAAAATTTTAACTCCTTGTCTTAAATTTCTAAACATTTATTGAATTCTAAAATTCCTTTTTACTGCTGTTATATCTGTAATTCTTCAATAGAAAGTCACACACATATAAAAAGTGCTTTTTGCTGCTTCTATACATTTTTAGATGTCCTTTGCTTGTGGGTTCAATAATGCATCATTTTGCTTAAAACTAAGTCACATGTTTTCTAATCCTCCTGCTTTTGAAAAAAAAATAATTAGAAATAAAGACTAATTATTATCATTTTTCAAAAAAGCATATATAATATGTTGTATGCATATGGTTGTGCTAAGTATTTATTTTCTCTTTTAGAATAAATAAATGTTGATCATTGATTTTAATGCAGTGATCTGCTACTTTCTAGATCTTCCTAAAAATGTAAAAACAAGAGTTCTTGAGCATGTCCAATAACTTCCAAATTATTTCAACTGAATAGAATAAAAAACTTATTTATATAAAACAGATATTCATGATTTAAATGAAAGACATCAGCTTTCTCCACGAAGTCATAAAATACTTAGGTATAATCTGTTGTTTTTGTAACCTATCTGCAAGGAAACATCCATATTTCAAGTGGCATAACAATAATATATTAATATAATGTCATTGTTCACATGAGTATAATGCCAGAAATTTTATTTGAATGATTATAGAACTGTTTGGTTTCCTGTAAGCTTGAAACTCCACTTTGAGCTCTGGGCCTAAAGAATGTTCTAAATTGCTACCTAAATTTTGATAAATTAAAATGAAAATCTCTAAGTCACATAACTCTGTACTTAATCTCAAGAAATGACATAAAATCACAAAGGCTTGTCTGCTTACCTGCTTTCCCCACATTTCACCACCCCTCAGATTTCGCTGGAAGGCTATAGAATAATCACCACTAGAAACATTCTATGGACACAAAGGTTTAATATGAACCAACCAGTTAAGGTGACCAAGGCATTTAGGATTATTTCAACCCTAAAATGCTTGAACCAAAGTAGAAAGAAATGGTTCACCATCTTCTGAGCTGGTCAGTCTATATATAGAAACCATTTTAAATAGTTATGAATCTTGGAGGCACATTGGCAATACTGATAACAATATTACATTTAGAATGACTAAAAGATTGGGTATTTTTAGCCCAGTTTAGGGGGATGTGTGGTTATAAAAGTTGTAAAAGAGGTATAAAGCTGCTTTTAAATATTGGGAAAGCCAGAAAAATATAAGAACTTTTAACATTAAAACCTATTAAAAATGGAAAGGGTGAAATATTGAGCTCCCTGTTGCTGAAGGCATCCAAGAAAAGGTGGAATGAAAGACAAGCATACAGATTTCTTTATTAGGCTGGGCATTGTTTGGATTACCTGCAGTTATCTTCTATAACTCTAAGTGTATGTAGGGTACTACCACTACCCCAGTAGCAGCAGCAGAGATAATGCTTCATACCTCAGAATGCAAGCTCCATAAAAGCAGGAGCCAGGACTTCCTAGAGTTTGGAAGAGCTCCTGATACTTTATAGTTGCTCAATAATTATTGGTTGCATGAATGCTTTCTATTCCTGTGTAGTAAAGACCTGAATAAGATCTCTTCTTTCTTATTTTTTAATGACTAAGGGGAGAGAGAGAGAGAGAGATTTTTTGCATTTTCATAATCTTCTAATTTGGGGAAGAAAAAATATTTGAGTTTGGTTACATAATTACAAAGGAAAGTGAAATCTAGTTATTTTCATATTTATTACTATTCTTACTTTATCCCTAGATGAAGAGTCTTTATACCTTTTAGTGGTTTAAGTTCTGTTTCATTTTTAAGTATGGATACAAATTCAACAAATTTTCAGAATAGAAAAAGAAAGCAAACACTGAAAATGTATAGCTTGTGCTTTATGTAATAAATTAGAGAAAGGGTTATGGGCCAAAACAAAATGAACCCCAATATGTGCAATAAGAGGTGAGTAAAGCAAGCTTTATGAAAGGACAACATATACGTGCCTGAAAAAAGGACCTAACATGTATTGGATGAGTCACATGGACTATCAGCCTATATAATTTCTATTTATTGAAAGAGCCTTTGCGATATGTAAATATAGAACAGAGGCTTAGAAAGGTTAAGTTATCTAAGATCACACAACAGTGTGGCCTGAGGTGGGGCAGAAGCTGGGATAAAAGGAGTAAAGGGGGCGGGGGATTGTGGGACATCTGTAATACTGTGAACAATAAAATAAAATACAATTAAATTAAAAGTAAATAGAAATATTAGATTCAAGATATAAACCCAGAAGTAGCTACTGAAATATACATTCCATGACTTTCTTGGTTTTGTTTTGTTTTTTTCAGGGCTGAATCCCCAGAATCTAGAATCTTACCTGGCAAATAGTAAGTACGTAAAATACACTTGTGAATAAGTAAATAGACATTTGAACTATTTTCCACACAGTCCTACAGGCCACACACTGTCTGACTGAAGGTAGTTATTTGTTAAATGCCATTAAATAAAGAACAATGGATTTTGAGTTTTCAAGAAAGAGGGAATGATCAACAGTGTCAGATAGACAGAGAAGTCAAGGTCCATTGGATTTTCTCTTTCTCTCTTATTATTTTTTCTGTATAAGTTTTAGAATGAACCAAATGGTACTTTTAAATATAAAAAGACAGAACAACTTTGAAGAGTTAACAGGGTTTGGAGACACACGCAAAGAGGAAGTATTGAAGTTTAGGTCTTAGCAGTTAAATTACCTGTGTGACATCATGCAAGTCACATTATTTCTGCACTTTCCCCATTAGACATAATTCTGTCATTTTCATTTTGGTGTCCAGTACCTCTAAACTGGTTGTTAAACAATTTAGTTCAATTTGAGAGATGACTCATTAGTGAAACGTTGCCTCAGTTTAGCGCTTGTCCTGTTGTATTTTGGTGAACTCCCTTCCAATTTTATCATGACCACTGAAGACTTAGAGTTGACAAGTCCCCCTTTTTGTGAGCTGGATTGAGTAGATCTATTTTCTTTGCAACCCTACAAACTTACTAAAAGAGAATGATAAAAAAAAAAAATCCTGAAGATCTACTGCTGCCAGTGTGTTCCAGACACTAGCAAAAGATGAGTTGTGCATCATTTTATGGACTAGATTAAAATATTTTAAAGTTTCTTTAGAAGAATAAGTATCTGCAAATAAATAATGAAAA